ACACACATTAATAATAATACTAATATATATATATAAAATAAATGACATTTTCTTTAATTTGAGTTTTTATATAATTAAAAACATGGCATATTTGTATAATTTCAGCTGTCATGTCTTTCTGTAGTGTTTACGGCGGTTTTACCACACTCACCCACGGTCAGCGTGTGGGCGTGGCACTTGCGATTGATGCAGAACCTCCAGAGGCCCTGATTGGCTGCGTTCCCGGAGTAGCGATACTGCATCCAATAGTCTGTTGCCGTGGAGATGATGAAGAGCACGAGGGCCGCCACTCCACCCAGAGAGGCCCCGCCTACCAGAGTGAGCACCATCAGTCAGAGGATCGGGACGTCCTCCTGCACGCACACACACACACACACACACACACACGTTCACTAACTGATCAACACTGTACTGAATACACTAGTGCTGAAGAACTGACATTAAGTTTGCGCTCCAGACGTCAATGATTCCTCTTGTTCAGGAGAGAGCAAACACCCATAGCAACCCCATGGCAACATGCCAACAACCAATCAGAACACTTTAGTAACCGCATAGCAACTGCCTGGCAACCACTCAGCAACTTCTGCACGTGTAAACGCCGCTCATATTTTCGGTAAAAGTACATTTGAAAATATTACATGGAAACGTGATTCAGCTTTCAGTTTTCTCAGGATAAAGACTTTAAAACATACAACATGTACAAATTTAGGCAAAATACTATATTTGTTAGTATTACAAATAGCAAATAAACTTTAATGAATATATTAGTAAATTAAAAAAAACACTAAAATATTAAATTATATAGGATAAATTAAATATATTTGTGCAATTTTTATATTTTTTATGACAAATATACAACATATAAACAATAATAATAATAAAATATAGGACAAATTAAAAGTATCTGTGTAATTTATTCCATACATACAAATTTAGGCAAAATACTATATTTGTTACTATTACAGATAGCAAATAAACTTTCATGTATATATTAGTAAATAAAAACACTAACTTATAGGATAAATTAAACATATTTGTGTATTTTTTAATAAAATATATACAACATATAAATAATAATAATGAATTATAGGATAAATTAAATGGTTTTTTTGTGTAATTTTGTAGATTTTTATGATAAATATACAACATACAATATTAATAATAAATTATAGGACAAATTAAAAGTATGTGTAAATTTGATAACAAATATACAACATATAACTACTACTACTACTAATAATAATAATAAATTATAGAATAGATTAAATTCATTTGTTTAATTTTTATAATATACAACATATAAATCACCATAATCACCATTTATAAATTATAGCATAAATAAGTGTATATTTTAAAAAATAACAAACCATCAGAAACCTTGCAAGAAACTTTCAAGAGGTATCATTAATGGTAATTAATGACATCTTTAAAATATTAATAAATATTTTGTAGTTATAATGATACATTTTTATAATTTTAAACATTATAATATGATGGATTTTATCATTATATTCCACAATAGCGTACAGAAAGCCACCTATTTTTTGCTTTTAATAAAGACTTTTATTAATGCCATATTAGAAATGAAAGAACTTTCCACTTTTGAAGAAAAAAGACTATTATAAAAAAAAAAAAAAAAGTTTATACTAATACAAACACTAAAAGACAACTCTGAATTTTTGTGTAACTTCTGCACCAACTTTTTACAAACAAACCCTTTGGTTCGCGAACAAAAGGCTTTCTGTGCGATCAGCATTTGGCTCGAATCGAGCCGATTAATCAAAACTTCAATCCGTTCATCATAAAAGCGTTCTGAATGCGAAGCGTTTGCGCAGCACAAACTGGATCAGCACATTTCAAACTCGAGCTGAACGCTGCCAAACACACACACACACAAATTACTAACAAATGACTCACTCACAGACGAATAAGAGAGACATTCACGATAAAACTCACAAAACGTGCCATAAACGCATCGCAAATGGACGCTGAGAACAAACCGCGCTTTTGTTCCCGCCAATGCAAGGATTTAAAAAACAGCAAGTGTAACGGTCAAATCATTCTCCAAGACTTCCCTCAAACAGCCGCGGACTGTCCTTAAAGCACCTAATGAAGTAGATAAAACTTTGTCAATAGTTTAAAATCAATTTGATATCATATCTTATATCATCATGTACCTCTCAGACGGTTGCTGCCGGTCTCCCGCGAGGATTGAGCTCCGTGCGAGCGCTTCTGCCGTTTTTAAGCCCACTACGCGCGGCCGTCATTGTTCGGGCCACAATGGAGCGAATCATCCAGTCAGACATGTGAGATGTGAGGTAATCCGCATCTTTCACCGCGTCTCGTCCTGTTGTTTACTCGCTGACGCTCTCCTCACAATCTCGCCAGTCTTCTGCGGCGTGGGGCGTTAGTGACGCGCGTCGACGCCTCGGTCTTCCTCCTTCGGCTGGAGGTCAAATCGAGCCAGAACTCTTGGACTGGGGCTTTGAAGGATGAAGAAACGCCTCACATATATATATAAACAAAGGTTTGGGATCAGTAAGATTTTTAATGTTTTTAATTAGAGTTTCTTCTGCTCATCAAGGCTGTATTTATTTGATCAAAAATACAGAAAAAAACGAATATTGTGAAGTATTATTGCAGTTTCTAATATTGGTTTCCTATTTTAATATAACGTTACTTTAAAATATAATGTATTCCCGTGATGCAAAGCATCATTACTCCAGTCTTCAGCGTCACATGATCTTCAGAAATCATAATAATATGCTGATTTATTACAGTTTTGCGGCTTCATATTTTTTTGGAACACGTGATACTTGTTTCTTTGATTCTTTGATGAATAAAAAGTTAAAAAGAGCAGCGTTTTTTCAAAACCGAAATCTTTTCTAACAGTATAAGTCTTTACTATCACTTTTAATCCATTTAACACATCCTTGCTGAATAAAAGTATTAATTTCTTTTAAAAAAAGAAAAAGAAAGAAAAGATTTACTGACCCCAAACTTTTAAATACTAGTGTATGTTGTAATGTTTTGTGTGTTTTGAATAAACAGTTCTTTTTAACTCTTTATCAAAGAATTCTGAAAAAAGTATCACAGGGTCCAAAATAATATGAAGCAGCAACAGTTTCCAGCTCTGATAATAAATCAGCATATTAGAATGATTTCTGAAGATCTTGTGACACTGAAGACTGGAGTAATGATGCTGGAAATACAGCTGCGCATCACAGAAATACATTATATTTTGAAGTATATTCAAATAGAAACTTATTTTAAATTGCAATAATATTTCACAAAATAACAGGGTTTTTTCTGTATTTTTGGTCAAATAAATACAGTCTTGATGAGCACAAGAAACTTTGGTAAAAAATATGAAAAATCTTACTGATCCCAAACTTTTGATACACACACACACACACACACACACAGACACAGACACACACACA